TATGGAATTAAAACAATGGATAGTCCCATCACCCTTGGGGGTTAATATTGACCACTTTGGGGAACCCTGCCCTACATCAACACTCATCCTGAAGCTCAGGTGGTCTTGGTCTGGTCAGTTGCCTAGGTGCCATGTATCTTAAGCTATGTTCCTTGGTGGAAGGCAGGGTGCAAATGTGGAACACATTAAATACTGTAATATGATTGGGCATAATTCTGAGCTCAAATAGTAACTGGGAATAGTCATATTAATATTATTGTGAATTTGTAGGCAAGTCATTTCAGAGTTTAAATAAATTTATTGTGATGCTGTGTTAAATGCATGAGTTCTAAGGTATGTGAGTCTATTGGCCTGGAAGTTGCCTTATTTGTTTTTGCTGCAGCAATCTAACACAGTTTCCCTCTGGAATTCATTTACATTTGCTTTCTCTATAGCCATCTGTTCCATTTCAAAGGTCTCTGCAGCTGTGCAAAATCTGCATTGTATCTCCTGAAAGAAGCATAACAAGCTCACGGGTATAGCTTTGTTCTGCAGGCAGAAGGGCCCAAACAGAATTCATTCATTTGTTCGTTCGTTCATTCATTCATTCAATATAGCTGCCCATCTCAAATATGTGACTGGGTGGCTCACAACAATTAAAAAAGAACATAAAACAATTCCTGGCCTCTCCAAGCAGGACTGGAAAAGTCTCCAGTCTGATGACTTAAAGCAACTGCTTCTTTATAAACAATACTCCACTTGGATCTGGCTCTGCATAAGGTTACTTCTGCATCCATTGTTTTAACAGGAGCAAGAACGGACACGAGCAGTCATGGACTGGTGCGATGGAGCAGATGATTGGGGAGAAGACTGTAAAGAAGCATCTTCTGAGCTGTGTGGGATATTTGACTCTTTTCCCAGAGAAGCACACTGTGTAGCTCAGTTCCAGAGGCTGAGCCTCAGGAAAAGCACAGGGGTCTTTTGTGACCTAGCTGAGAAAAAGCAAACCAAACCCTCCAGCTGCATCCCTGAGTTTCAGCCCTACTACATCAGTGTAGTGGATGAAGAAGACTGCCTTGGTTGTGACAACATGGATCACGCTCAGAGGCTTCTAAAGGAATATCAGCAGAGGAAGGAGGTGGATTTGGAGCAGTTGATGTCAGCAGGGTGAGGCACAAGTCAAGGCTAACGTGAAAGAGTCTTCCAGAGTCTCCCTGGGTTGGGAAGGTCCTTGAGTGGCTGAAGAATTTGTAGCAAGCAACAGCCAGATGTACAGATTTGGAGAACGTACAGCATAGAACAGAGTATGTTCAAGAGATTTGCTGATTTGAATATTTACAGTTTTCTATTAGTGACTTCAAAGCAATTCACAGAAGTAAATTTCAAACCATTCAGATAACAAAATGCAAGTATAAAAATGATCAGGATCAGCCATAAAGTCAACAGCATAGAAGTTGTAGATAAACCTTCCATCTGGTAAGTTAAACCAGGCAGAGCTTCAATCCTGCTGTCATGGCCACCATCTTTACTTTTTTTACCATACCCTGTGGACATCCCAGACCACAGTTTTCACTTTCTCTATTTGGTAGAAAACACTTCTGAGTTTGTTACTAATGCAGTAATGTGATTGGTCTAATATTGGTGTCTTCCCTCTTTCAGTTACACCACTGATGATTCTGGTGAGAAGTATGAGAAGAGTGAAGCTAAAAAGAGAAACCAGATGTTCCACAAGTTCATGAAAAGAATTTCATTCTGCCAGGAACAGATCTTAAGGTAGGCTTGGCCCATTTATTTAGTGTCTGGGTATTAGAAAACTGGGAATGTATATGGAATTAAGCTAGAATTTAGAATATCTTTGAGCCCTACATGAAGGGAGGTGTCCTAAATCTTGGGAACCAGGCTTTTGGAGCGCTTAAAAAAAAACAATTTCCCTCCAAGGCAGTAGGGTTGCTGACAATGTAGTGATGTCCCTGGAGGATTCAGAAGTGAAGTGTGCTGCTCTCTTTTACAAATGGGAGGGGAGGATCCAAGACAGAAAGTGGCATTCAGCTGGCAGGTATTTAACACACCTGCTGTAACCTTTAATTAAAAAATGGACAAAAGCACATTGCTGCAAATTGGCACTTCAGTACTGTGCTTTCAGGGCAGGTTTCCCCACTGGTCTGGGCGGCCCCACATGGATCTTCTCCTTAAGTAAAAGTTCCAACCATTGGCTCAGGTGAACTGAAGAAAACTAAAAGGATGGACTTAATAGTCCAAAGCAAAATATTTTCTGTATATTGCAGCTGAAAGCCCTTGTAACAAAATAAACCAAAATCAGGGTTTCCAAATGATGTATAAGCCAAAATTTGGCAATTCTGTAGGACAAAATGTTTTAAATTGATCTGCTTTGGTTCATAGAGCTGGGCTGTAACACTGCATAATAAGTTTTATTGTTGTAACCACAGGCCATACTATATAACGTACCATAAAATACAATAACAGAAATCATCAGTAATAGCAATCAGGGGATGTCTTCCCCCTTTCAAATACATTTAATAATTTCTGTAGCAGTGCCTTTGGTTCTCACCTTTCTGCACACAGTGGCTGCTTTGGAAAGGTGAGCACATTGTAGGAGGAGAACCATGTTAGCCCAAAATCAGGAGTCTGGTAGTAGTTTTTCCAAATAACAGATTTGATTAAAAGACATAACGTCATCTCCATGCAGCTAATGAAGTGAGTTACAACTCACAAACGTTCATATATTTTAATCAAATGTCAGCATACATGGTATCAGACTCCTACTGTATATTCACATTCTGTTTATGAAGTGTCTCCATTGACATAATGAAAAGACAAATCAATTATTATTCCTTTCATTCAAGGTTTAATGATATATTTAAAAATTAGGCTGAATGGTTTTCTCTATACAACATATTATGTTTTTGTGTTTCCTTTTATTTCCCTTTCTCTTTTTTGTTCCTTTTCTCTTTTGTTCCTTTTTCTTCTCTTTCTTTGTTTCAGTTGTGAGCAAATAAAAAAAAAATTAAAAGGGATGGTTGGGAGAATTCTCACTGGTTTGCCATCTGGTAAATGAGATTCTTCTGATTTTCTTTCAACTAGCACATGTACCCTTTCTTGGCTCCTAGGCTGATGACATTCTGTTTGCACTGTATCCTTGTTGACCCCTCTCCCCCACTCCGACAGCTTGCATCCGGGTGTATCTTACTGGCTCACCTGCTCCTCATCTTCCCAGGGCTTCTCTTCCCTCCCTGCCTGTTGCTTTTCCAATAGTCCCAGCAGTGAGGACCAGGATTCCTATGCGGCATATCCTACTGGCCCACCCACCTGCCCTGATCTTCCCAAAAATCTTCCCTCTCCATAGCAGCTGCTGCTGCCAGGGTTTGCATACTCTGTCACTGGGGAAACTCCCCAGTCATGCCTTTTCCCACTCTTACCAACTCCCCCATCCCCACTCCAAGCCATTTCTGCCTAGTACAGCTGTGGTTCCATTCATATCCAGAAAAAACAGCCTCCTTTCGTTACTCATATGAAACACAGCATTTGAAATGTGTTTCAGTTTGGGCAGGGATTACTCAAACCAACTTTTCTTGTGCATGGAATGTTTTGTACATCCCTAGTGCTAGGCTGTTAGCACCTGAGTTCGTGCAGCATATTAATCCCAAATTAAACAGACTTAGAATAATATCTGAACCCAGCCTTGGTGTGGAGGGAACAGTAAAAGAGCCAAACTACCTGCTCACATAGCAGGGTGTTTGTATGCTCTTACTGTATCTAATGGGACCAAGCCCTGACAAAGGTAGATTTGTCCTGTTACCAAATGGCTTCATCCCCAAGAAGGGCTTGCCCTGTCAGGCCCTCCCGCCAGATATTGCTCCCCTCCCCCAGTCTCTGACTGAGGTTTCATTGCTCTGTTCTAGATTTGATGGCAGCCCCAGGCCGCCCTGGCTAATGCAAGAAACTCAGCAGGGCCAGTCTTAGTATTGGGACGGTGGATCTTTGGGGAACCCAGGACCATAGGCTAGGCTGGGAAATCTGAAGACACCCCACAGACCAAGGCAAACTGCTTCTGGAACTACATGGATGGAGGAGTCAGTACTGGCCTGAGCAATATCTTACTTTTGTTTATGGATTTTGGCTGTGATTCTAATTGTAATATTGTGACAGAGTATCTTCACTTCTGGTGTTTTCTTTTTAAAAAGTTTTATTATGCTTTTATTCCATACGTTTGTAGTATCATAATTATTCTTAGCATATTTTTGTTTAGCTGCCTAGGGAGAATTTTTGTCTTAAATGGAAGCTTAGGGGCAGTAACAATATGTTTGGGATCTTTTGACAATTAGGTACTCCTGGGATGGCCAGCCTTTATTTATTACCAGCCCATCTGCAGACTTCCAAGCAACAGTCCCACCCTGTAATAACTGCAAGAGTAATAGAATCTTTGAATTCCAACTTATGCCAGCCATGGTCAACATGCTGAAGATCAAGGACAACGGTAGGCAACCTGAATTAAGATTTTGGCTTGCAATTAGCCCTTTGTTTTTTTCTCCTTTCTGCAGTTTAAGTAGGGGAGAGAGGCTGGGTGGAAAACTGGAAGTTATACTTTGGATACTCAGAATGGGTGACTTTTCAGCTCATTTCTGCCCATATATTACTTATATTTGCAAATGCTTTGTCAGTCAGGTTTGGCTGTTTCACTACCCCTACAGGTTTCTATTACAATAAATTATTTTCTCCACATGCTCGGACCGAAGCTGCCAGACTGCCTAACCATTGAGGTGCTAGCAGCTTGCGGGCAATGAGTCCAGGGGAGACTTGATCCCCAGATCCTTGGCATGCAGAAGGCGCAGGCCCATCAGACACTCCAAGTACCAGGCTCTTGGCTTCTTTCTGAGACATTTCAAGCTTCTGGCAAACACATTCTTGTTCTAATCCAGTTTTGCTTGAAGCCTTTTTTGTTCTTTTGTGCTTTGTAACAAAGTTATTGTAGGAAAGCTAAGAATTTGAATGAATGAAGAAATGTTTACAGCTAGTCAGGGTTTTCCAAGTCAACATTAGGAAGACAGGGTTTCTCACTAGATTTGGTAATGAAGGACTAGTGGAAACCTTGCAGGGCCACTGTGAAAAATATTCTCAGCATCTTTCAGATAAAGTTGCTTGGATTTGCTTTGAGGGGGTGATCCTATGGAAGTGACTGAGGTATGTCTTTGCTCAGTTATCTGGGCAGAGTTTCAATAGGTTAGTCCTGAAAAAGTGGACAGGGTCTTGCTACAGTGTCACCTGTACTCTGGACCCATACCCCTCCTGGGTGGTCAAGGCCTCCCAGGAGGTGGCAGGCAGTTTGGTCCAAATGGTGGTTAATGCCTCTTTGTGGGAGGAGGTGGTTCCACCTGCCTGGAGGAAGCAGTGGTTCACCCCATTCTCAAGAGGCTACCTTTGGGCCTGAACATGTTGGACAACTTTTGTCCAGTCTCCAACCTTCTCTTATTGTTTAAGAGGGTGGTGGGCACTCAGCTCCAAAAGGCCCTGGAAGAAGTGGATTGTCTGGATCCTTTTCAGTCAAGATTTAGGCTAGGTTGTAGTAATGAGACAGCATTGACTATGCTTGTTAATGACCTCTGGCAAGCTCAGGATGGGGGTATTGAAAGCTGCTGAGAGATCCAATAAAGCTAGGATGTCCATTCTAGCCCTCCTGGATCTCTCAGCGGCTTTCAATACCATTGACTATGGTATCCTTCTGGACTAGTGTGGGGGATTGGGAGTGGGAGGCACAGTTCTTCAGTGCTTCTCCTTTCTCCATGGCCATTACCAGTCAGTGGTAGTGATAGGGGTAAATCTAGCTCTAGGCCCCTGTTATGTGGAGTGCCTCAGGACTTGGTACTCTCACCCCTCCTATTCAACATCTACATGAAGCCATTGGGTAAGGCCATCTGGCAGCATGGAGTGCAGCAACATCAATACGCTGATGATACTCAGTTGTACATCTCTGTCCCAGGCCGAACAAGTGATGTGGGTGAGGGCACCAATTTAGTGTGTATAATCAAGTCCTGGGTGGGCCTGAGGAGGGAGTTGCCCTCTCAAAAATATGTCCACCTGGGTTTCAGGTTTTGCATCAGCTGAGACTCATGGGGAGAAGGAGGTGGCTATTGCTATCTGTGAGTTGCTGAAGTCATTTAGAGGCTCTGCTCCTCAGATAACCAGATGTGAGACCCTCTGGCTTAAGGTGGGCCTTCTAGAACAGTTGGGATTGCTGCTGGTGTACCATCCTCCCTGCTGCCCACCATCATCTCTGCTTAAGTAGCTGGATTCTGTGGCTGGGCTGCCAGTGGAGTTCCCAAGGCTGATGGTCCTTGGGGACTTTAACCTGGCACCTAATGACATTCAGTTCAGAGTGGCTCAGGAGTTCATGGCCTCCATGGCAACCATGGACCTGTCCCAAGTAATAGAGGGCTCAACACGTACCAGGAGTTAGGGATGTTTCCACTGTTGGTCTTTGATGGGGTTGCACTTCCCCCTTCGAGACTGGTGCACAACTTGGGGGTCCTCCTGGACTTTTAGCTACAGCCAGGAGGGCTTTTCCATAGATACATCTTGTATGTCAGTAGCACCCCTTCCTTGAAAGGGTATCCCTTCAGATGGTCATTCACACCCTGGTCACCTCATGACTAGATTACTGCAGTTCACTCTACATGGAAATGCCCTTTTTTAAAAGATACATACATACTGTATGTTGCCACTAATTTGAGCATTGATGCTTAATTTAGGATTTGCAGGACAGATACCAAAGAACGAGAACACCAAGGGTGATGCCAGGTCAGCAACAAACCTTTTACAGAAAATTTATTAAAAAATTACACTTACAGTGCCAGAGGGATATGTCCCCCGGCAGCCGGGTGAGCCCAAACAGAATCTGGGAATCCTGGAAATTGACTCACTCTCACTCTCTGGAATTTGACTCACCAGAAAGCTGGGTAAAAGGGCAAAGCTTATAGCCCCTTTTCCCCATTCCCCCACCCTTTGGAATGCTCACCCTAGCACTGGGATAATTAGCAAGAAGGAAATTACAGTAATATTTGTACAGTATTTACATTCATTGGGAAGGAAGGGATTACAAATGAGTAAATAGGAACACAGTAGAGAATACACATTGAGGGGAATGTGCTAGCCCCAGCTGTTTGGCTAGCACCTAGAAGCTGCTAGCTGCCAACTGCTTAGGAGGCAAAAAAGCCTTCAGTGTGAAGCTGATTAAGGTCTGGTCAGTTTAAGGTAGCAAGCCCCAGAGGGTTTTAATCCACTAATTAAAGTCACAGAGCTGAGCTTGTTAACTTGCTGTTAGCACTTTTTAGGGAAGCATTGTGCTCTGGAGAAAAGCTGCTCAGGAAAAGATAGCTTGTTTAAGCAATCTCTCTGCTCTGGTGGAGGGGGGCAGGACAACACACACACACAATACAGAAAAACAGGGAAAAAGAATACACAAAATTATAAAAGAAAAACGTTGAAACCTGGTAGTTCAGGCAGAGTGGTTGTGTTCCAGGTCCCTTCTATTAAATGTTGCCATCTTGTGGGACCTAGAAAGCATGCCTTCTTTGTCATGGCCCCCACCCACTGGAACAGCAGTCCCAAAGCTCTGGAAGGGGGGGGGGGTGCTGTCATGTTGTGTTTTAATTGTTTTGAACTTCACATTAGATTTTGTAAGCTGCCCAAAGTCTCTTGGAGTGGGTGGCCATAACATATTCAATAAAAAATATATATACATACATAATCCCATCCAGGGGCTTACCCTGTGCCTGAAGGCTGTGAGGGTCTGGATGGAGAGGAACCATCTGCGACTTAACCCCAGCAACTTTTGGTTTTGGGGACCCCCGGATCTGGAGACTTGCCATCTTTAACTCTTGACAGGGTAGCACTCCCCCAGAGAGAGGTGGTGCACAATTTGGGGATCTTCTGGACTCATAGCTCCTGCTTGAGGAGCAGGTGACAGCTGTGTCCATAGGGCCTTTGCATGAATTCATTTTGTGCTCCATTCCTGGACTGGGAGGCCCTGCTCATGATCATGCATGCCATGGTCACTTCCCATTAGGATTACTGCAAAATGCTATATATTGGGACTGCCCTTGAAAACCACCTAGAAATTTCAACTGGTCCAGAATGCAGCAGCACATGCAGTTTGGAGCACCCTGCATCTTGTCCATATTACACCACTGCTATGCAAGTTGCACCAGCTTCCATTTTTTTCCAGGTGCTGGGCATCACCTTTAAAGTCCTGTATGGCATGGGGCCAGGTTATTTGAGGGATCACCTCTCCTTGGGGATATCTACCCATCCCACTAGACTGGAGATGGTGGGCTTGCTCCAGGTCTCCTGTCAAGTGTTGCTATCTGATGGGACTTAGGAAGTGAGCCTTTTCTGTAGCTGTGCCTCTACCCTATGGAACAGCTTCTCCCCTGAAATACAGAAGGCCCAGTCCCTCCTTGCCTTCCAGAAGGCTGTTAAGACCTATCTGTTTCCCTCAGGTCAGGATGGGGCGGGAGGCCAAGCCCGGTATTTTGGGTGTTTTTTGAGAGAGCACTGTTATGGAGCTGATGGTGTGTTAGAATTTTAATCCTGTGTTTTTATTATTTGTTTTTGTTAGAAGGACTAACTTTCATAAATTCCTACATGTCTTTGTGATAAGGGCAGTAACCTTGAAAATGCCCTTCTCCTTTTTTGGCAGATACATCAATAGAATTTGGAACTGCAGTGGTGTACACATGTGAGAAAAGTTGTTGGACAGCCAGTTCTGCACCCTTGGAAGAATATATTTTTGTACAAGAAGATCCAGATCAGCAACTGTTTAAATAAATTCTATTTACTGTAATTCCTTGCCTAACTGAAATTGTGTGTGAGTTAATGTGTTTTAACTGAGAAGTGCCACAAGCTTGCTGTTCACAAAAGAAACAGAGATCATGAAGCCCTGTAATTTGTGCAAAAGAAGGAATGTTAGCTGGTGTGGGTCTTCCGGGCTCTGTGGCCATGTTCTGGAAGTTTTGTTTCCTAACATTTCCCCAGTATCTGTGACTGGCATCTTCAGAGGGCAGGAGCAGTTCTCTCTGTGCCCAGGATGATGTGACCCTGTTGTGGGTATTTATAGAGATCAGTGAGGGTGCCTGAAGGGGGTGGGGTGGGGGTTAACGAGTGGCTGCTTGTTTTGGTGTCAGAATATGTGTGTATCTTCCTGGGGGTTAGGCAGGGTTTTTTCTATTGAGTTGTTAATGAGTGGCTGCTGGTGATTAGAATGTTCATTGTGTGAATTGTTCACGCGTCCTGGTGGAACTCAGCTCAGCCACCAGGACGCATGACCAACCAACGAACTTAGCTCAACCACCAGGACGCATGACCAATTCACACAATGAACATTCTAATCACCACCAGCCACTCATTAACAACTCAATAGAAAAAACCCTGCCTAACCCCCAGGAAGATACACACAGATTCTGACACCAAAACAGCAG